GAGAGAGANAGAGAGAGAGAGAGGGAGAGAAAGAGAGACACGTGGAACACTGAACTGAAATTCAATGCAAACTTCATAAGGATAATTTCAAAAAAAAGTGCGCGAATGGACACTTTTGAAAAATGACAAATTTTTCTGAGAGCGGTAAATATGCTTCTAAAACAAGTATATTTTAAAATTCTGTTCAAAAACTATAAAATTATTGGTAATTAAACCACCAAAGTTTGATAAGTTTGAAAATTTTGCTAACATTTATGCTATCAATTAATAATTGACATGAATGTTCCTTCGATGAAATTACTCCAATAGTTAGAGAAAAATTTCAAAGCATTAAAATAGAAATATTTATTTTAAAAATAATTATTGCAATTTGAAACTAATTTAATCCTCAATACCACTCAATACGCATTTCATTTTATATCGTGGTAATTCTTGCAAATCATATCCCGGCAACTCTTGCAAATCATATCCTGGTAATTCTTGCAAATCATATCCCGGTAACTCTTGCAGATCACATCCCAATGATCCCCACAAATCATAATGAGTGTCACAAATTTTGGAATTTTTTCCCTCTTGAATTTTAAATTCGGAATTCATACTAAAATAAATATTTCAAGAAATTTGACATAACCTTTTACGGCTGTTATTTTGCCTTTTCTTAGCCCATCAGGTCATAACAATAAGGCCCGTCAGTTCATGAAATGACCCTTTTATTGATATCAATTTGTGGAGTTGTCAAATTTCGATTAAAACTATCAAAAGTTTCACAATTATTGTAACCTTTCTTCTTTGTACTCTATCCATCTTTCTACAGTAAATTACTTTGTTTATAGTAGTACTCTGACAAAAACAAGTACCATTTGCTGTAGAGTAACATCAGAACAGTTCAAATGAAAAACAGAGAGAGGGAGAGAGCGAGAGAGCAAAAAATGGACATCGAAAAAATTATCCGTTGGTCAGTTTGTATTCTGTAAGTTTATTTGCTTAGGCAATCAATTCGTTAATTATAATTTAGTATAATCAAAAGAAGCAGAGGTGATGGATAACATGTCTTCTGGTAAACATCTCTTCCATACATATCTCTACATTCTTTGCAGATACATATCTTCATCTTGGACATCATTATTTCTACCATATTCTTCAACGCTGATGACATCTACAACAACTACCTGATTGGTTAACCAATTCTGATGAAATGCCAAATACTCTTTCGAGAAACTTCTAAAACCCTATTTTCGTTTGTATTAACTTCGCAGTACAAGAAAATGTTTATCGTAAAAGTTGTGGCTGATTTATGATACATGTGATATGATATTTATGATATTATTGAAACCGTTATTAAACGGAAGACTTACGATATCTTTAAAATATGACTAAGTTTTTTTTTTTTTTTATGCCGAATCTGCCACTCTGTTATGAC